ATGGGTCAAGCAGATATACTGCATTCTCACTCTCCACTTGCTGCCTTTCCTAGGGAAGGCCATCCTTATAGAGGAAGTTTCACAGACCCTGGGTCAGGAAGACACTCCACTGGTGGCAGAGGCTGTTCACAGGGTCACCTCCTTCTCCTGGGCCCTGTCCCAGGGGTGAAAGGCTGAGCACTGGTGAAGGGCCCCTGTGGACCTGCAGAGAAGCCCCATTCTCTCATCTAGGGGTATATACAGTTTGTCACCAGGGCCTAAAAAGGAGGCCAGCTCCTGCCCACCCTGCTCTGGGACCATCCAGGCTTCCATCCCAGGGAGGCCAGCTTCACTTCCACTCACGTCTGGGATCTCTCCCACCCTCAGGCTCCACAGGCCTCAGGGCAGGACAGTCACATCTACAGAACAGTAACTGCAGGGCAGAGCTCTATAGATGATGACCCTGAGGCTCAGAGAGAAACTATTACTTGCCCAAGGTCACAGAGCTCCTTAGTGGCAAAGCGGCCGCACCTCTCGTAACGGACACTTTCCTGTATAGCACCTGCATCCTGCTAACAGTCAGAGGACAAGCTCCCCAGGGATAGGGCCTGCATTTTCTGTGCCCCCTAGCACTAGGCTGGGCCTAGTAGGTGCTCTCAAGTGTCTGCTGAGTATAATCACTATCACTAGTCCTAGGGTCCTAAGGACCTATGTCCCCGCCCACTGGCTGACTTCTGGGGACTCTGACTTCCTGAAAACACAGCTTTCAGCTTTCTACCTCAAGACAGCCTGCCTAGGGGAAACCCTTGCTTCTCGGATTGCCCCTCCATCTGCCTCTCTGCCCCAGGCCTGAGGAAGATACAGCTTCAAACAGCAGCCTCCAAACCACAGGATGGCCTCCGGGTCTCTTCTCAAACTGCCCTTCCCACCTATGCCAGGCAGAGGGCTTGGCAGAAACCTTCAGTTCCCTGACTGCTTTGGGAGAAGGGGTGAGCTGTGGGATGCTCTCACCCACACTCCCAGCCTTTGTTTAGGTCACGGACCCAGGCTGGAAGGCCTTCCCTTCCTCCCTCAACTTCCAGGGAGGACCAAGCCAGAAACTCCTGTCTTAGCAGATCAGGGGAAAAGGTCTATGGCAGTAGTTCTTTTTTTTTTTTTTTTTTTTTTTAATATCTTCTTTGGAGTATAATTGTTTTACAATGTTGCATTAGTTTCTGCTGTATAACAAAGTGAATCAGCTATATGTATACATATACCCCCATATCCTCTCCCTCTTGAGCCTCCCTCCCACCCTCCCTATCCCACCCCTCTAGGTGGTCACAAAGCACCGAGCTGATCGCCCTGTGCTATGCGGCTGCTTCCCACTAGCCATCCGTTTTACATTTGGTAGTGTATATATGTCACTGCTTCTCTCTCACTTCGTCCCAGCTTCCCCTTCCCCCGCTGTGTCAAGTCCGTTCTCTACGTCTGCATCTTTATTCCTACCCTATGGCAGTAGTTCTTAAGCCTGGCTTCCAGCAGGAGGGCTTTTAAAAAGTACAGGTACCTGGGGCCCTACTCCAGAACATTTAAGTCAGAATTCTTGGGAATGATAAGGGTTGGGGGTCTGATATTGGTATTTAAAAAAATAATCTCTGGTCTGTGATCTCTATAAGGCTCTCACAGATATGACCCACTAAGTTATGTTCATGCTATTTGGTGAGACAGGCCAGGCCAGAAAGCCAAGGCCTCAGCGTGGTTTATGTACTAATATCACCTCCCCAACCAGGCTAATCCCTTCCTCTCCTTCAGGACTAGCCTGGCCGACTTAAGCCCCAAGGGACAGATCTCAGCTTTGTTGGGATCCCACTGGCAGGCAGAGCAGAGGAAGGCAGCAGCCTGTGTGCTTGGGGTCAGCCCCACCTTTCCCCTCCACTGCCAAACGGGATCCTGGGGCCAACTTCAGACTTAGTGTACTCCCACCAAAAATCCTAACCCAGCCTCCCAGGAATCCCAGGTCCTGTTCTTTCAGCCCCCAGTACTGAGGGCTGCAGTCCCCTTTCACTCAGGATGAGGGAGGCCACCCACTGGTTAAGGGCCAGAAGGGAAGCTGGGCCTCAAGGCTTTGGCCCTGTCCAGGGTCCTGACTCCTGGTCATATCACTTTGTTCCAGCCTGGGGCACCTCCCTCTGGTGTATAGCGCGCTCCTTGATCTGCACCCTCAGAGTGCACAGGTCATTCCAGGGGCAGCCCTGCCAGTGTCGCCTAAAGCCACCTTTAGGCCTAAAGCTCTTTCCATAGCTGGTGGCTTCTCTACGTGCCAGTGCTGCTGCTATGCCAAATACTCCTAATCCTCAAATCGCCACCCATCAATGTCCACCTTCACAGATGAGGAGACGAAGTAAACCATGGGTCCCGTGGCTCTGCAGCCACCAGGAAGGGACTCCTGCACCACACACATCAACTTGCAAGCATTGAGGCTGGGAACTTGGGCCAGACTGGGAGCAGACCGTGTGAGCAGCCTGAAAACGACCCCACCGGCTTCTTACTCTGGGGACTGAGCAGAAGGGACTCCAGATGCCCTTTCACCAGGTGTCCATAGCCCTCGGCCCCCAGCTCCAGCAGATTATAAAGGCCTTTCTCTCCAGCCCATGCACAGAAAGAGAAGGGACAGCCCAGTGAAGAGATTTACTGCAAATGTTATCTGCCGCCAAATCCTCGCTTTCATCTCCGCCTTCTCATGAGCCAAATAATTTGGAAGCTTTCATTGATGGTTTCCTCTCTGCCCCACGATAACTTGGAATTTATGCCGGCTATGGCTCAGCCTCCTCACTTAGGGGACGAGGGAAACCTCGCAGGCTGCTCTCCAGCCTGCTGTGGGAGGAAAAGCCTGTCCTTGGCGACAGTTCAAGGCGGGGAAGACTTCCTCAGCTCTTCTGGAGCCTAAGACTTGAGGGCGGGTGTCTCCAGTCAGGCCTCAGAGCCCCCTGCAGAGGCTCCTGGGTTTGAACCCAGGGCCGTGCATGGCCAGTCCCCAGCAGGGCTGGGGATCAACACCCTTGCAATGGTTTGACTCTATTTTTAGGTGGGGAAAGGTTCAAAGGCCCTGCGCTGGAAAACCCAAGAGGCAGGGGAATTTTCAGCCCCATGCAAATCACCCTTTCCCCTCAGCCTTTGCCTGACACCTGTTTCCCCCCAGCCTGCCTGCCTATCCCCGGTGTAGATACCAGCACTGCCCCAGGGATCTCCGCCCTGAGAGGAGGCCCTGCCTCCCACTGGGGCTTGAAGGGGGTGTCAGGGGAAGGGATTAAGCCAGCCCCAGGGCCTCCCCAGAACTTCCCCTCTTTTCTCCAATCTGAATAGCCCCTGAAAGCAGGGGGCAGGTGGGATTCTGAGAGGCAGGTTCCTCAGCTCCCAAACAGGCAGAACAATTCCTGCCTTCCAGGACCAGGAAGGCACAAAAGATGGCTATTGTTTTACTAATCCAACCCTAGTAGTAATTGGGAGCCCCTGCAGCTCTCAAGATGGGGGTGGGGGCAGACGGGTGGAGGGGTGGTCCCCGGGACTCCCAGGGCCCTAGCACACTCTGTATCCTACTTCCCAGTGCACATGAGCACATGCCTTCCACCCACTGAGCAGGGCCAGACCAGGAGGTGCCAAGAGCCTCAAGAACAGCATCCTCCCAAGCCCACCTCACCCCCTGCTTTCATTCCAGTCCTGACTGCATTCCTGGAGATATTTCCTTCCATCTCCACCGCTCCCCTATAGGGCCAAGGGAGGATACTAGGTTGGGGGATGGGAATGGGAGGTTTCAGGTCTCAAAGGTGTCCCCACCCCCAACCCCACAAAAGGAGAGCCCCAGGGTAGGCCAGCTCCCGGAGGAGGCGGGGAGTCCTTTTTCAAATGCAAGGTTTTTCGGAAGACCTCCTCTAAGGACTGGCTAATGATAGCAGCTCCAGGATGGCCCCTGCAGTGAGGGAGGGGAGAGGAGGTTGCCAGGCTCAGAACAAAGATATCCTCCCTCAACCCGGGCCAAGTGCTCTGCCCCAAAACTCTAAGCCTTCCCACCCTTGGCACGGTTGGCCCCAAGAACCTCACATCTTGGCTGTATAACCTTAGGATCCTCAATTTCCTTATTATAACAGGAGGGTTAAAAAAGTAGTGTCTAGCCCAGTGCCTGGCTACTCTGTGGGCTGCAGAACAATCTCTCTCTTAAGGGTCAGATTCAAAAGCAACCCCCTTCTTGGGTACTCAATGCTCTGGCAGCCTCATTTGTGCCAAGGGTCTCTTCTGTGCCCAGTGCAACGCATTAAAGACCTAAGAGGGAGCGATGAGTCTCTAGGATGCAATTTTTCAGGGGCTGCAGAGGCAGGATCGCATGTCCATTTGTCTACCCACCCCCAAAGCTCTTCTCCACAGCTCCAGAGGCCATAAGTACCTCTATCTGTCCCAAGAAACAGCGTCAAAGTAAGAAAGGCTTAAAGGGCAGATGCATGTGAAATGGGCATAATAAGGAGTGGCTCACCTAACTGGATGACTTTGAGGACTCCACCCTTCATCCCTACATCAGCAAATCCTGTCACTCTGGGCTCAACCTCCAGAATGTCCCAGATCCTACTGTTTCTTACTCTACTGCCATCACTCAGCTCTAAGCCACCGTTATTTCTCTCCTGGACCACTGCCAAAGAATCCTCCCCACTCCCACCCTTGCCCCTCATATTCCCTTCTCCTCACAGCAGCCAGTGGGACCTTTCATTAAAACAGCAGACTATATAATTACCCTGCTTATGATCCTTGAAAGGCTTCTCCTCTCACTCAGATCAATAGGAACATCTTTACAACAACCTACAAGGTTATGAGAACTGGCTCCCCCACCCCTTCCTCCCATCCACTCTACTCAGCCATACTGGTCTTGTTCTGCAATGACTGCACCCTCTGCCAGGAATCCTCTCCCCCCCATATACCTGCACTTCCCCCATACATCCCTCCCTCTCCTTTCCACCTCTGTTTCATCTTTCTCCAGGATACTTGTCACTACCCACCTCTGAGGGTTTCTTTTCGTTCTGCCGGGGCCAGCCTGATTTGGTGCTGCTGGGCAGTTTGGAGCATCTTGATGCAGATGTAGCGTGACCTGCAGAGAGAGCACAGCCCATGAGGGGCCCCTGGAAGGCCAGGAACACCACCCACCCATGTCCAAGGAAAGGAGGTCTGTCAGGAAAGCTCTGGCTTGAATGTTCAGGAGGCGGAGACCTCTGTAAGCACCTGGTGGACTGTCCCTGCTCTGGGCCTTTCCAACAATGAATGGGGACATGATGCCTCCTCTACCCACCAACCAGAAGATGCCTGGGAGGTGAAAGGCAGTTTGGACAAGGACTCAGTATTAGCTTCCTGTGTGTGATCCATGACAAATCCCTTGCCCTCTCTGGTCCTCTGCTTCCTCCTTGGTGAAGGAGGGCTATAAGAAGCCTTCTGTGGCCACTCTCCACCCCCACTGCTGATTAGACACTCTGGGGTGATGCCCAGTGGGTATGCAGAGGCGAGACAAGGTAGTGGGAAGATTGCTGCTCTAAAGTAGACCCACAGACTAACCTTGAGCCCTGGCTCAGCCACTTACTAGCTCCTCACCCTGGACGAATGACTTAGTCTCTCTGAGCCTCAGCTTGCTTTTCTATAAAACGGGGGCAGAGAATAACCATCTTCAAAGAGTTGTTGTGAGAATTAAATGATATCATGCCTGTAAAGTCTTGGCACAGTCCCTGGCACACAGCGCTTTCTTGATTAAGATTACCTATTACATCACTAGGGTCTAGAGGCCCTCGCTGGACTACACTCAGGTTGGCCCCCACTCCTATGGGTCAAAGGAGCAGCAGCTACGGATGGGTAGTGGTGGCGACTGGTGAAAAGGGAGGATGCCTCAGCCCGGCCCAACTCCAATGCAGAAACAGGGCTCAGCTGCCCAGATGCTCTCCCTTGTGGGCGCCTGGCCCTCAAGGGTTCCTTTGCCTGAAATAAAGTTAGAAGCAGAGGATGCAGTTCTTCTTGGCTCTACTGAAACAGGCCACAGGCAGCGTGACTGCAGCCACAAAGGGCTGGACGCTGTGATCTACTGCTGCAGGGAGGAACGGCGGGCCAGGTCAGACACCAGAGCCAAGCTGAGTAAACAGACCCCAAAGGACACTGAGTGAAACCTGGAGGGAGAGAAGGGGCTGGGACCTGATTTCTCATTCTAGTGCATGTGTCCTCAGGCTCCGGGGGATTAGAAAACTCCGGGAGCTCTAAGGGGCCTTGGAGATCTCCCCAATCCCAGTTGCTCACCATGTACGTGAACAAACTAAGGTCTACAGTTGCAGGGCTCCAGGCCCGGCCTCCCGGGCAGCGCAGGCTCTTCCTCAGCCTGGCCTTTCACCAGAGGACATCGCTAAGTGGGATCTTCCTGGCAGGGTGTCTCTCCTACACAGGGCAGAATGGAACTCTTTACTCCGACTGGCTCATGCAGGCCCAGGTTCTTAGGGCATCTAAGAAGAGCTGCCTTCTAGTACCAGAAAAAAGCCCTCACCTGACACAAACCTCCCTTTTCGCCTCCGTATTTAAGAAGGGGCTCCCTAAGCCCTATTTTCTCTGTAACAGTGCCCCCCCCCATATCCAGGGCTGGCACACCCAGCCCCCACACAAGTCTACCCTGAGGTTCTGTTGCCAAGATCCCATGAAGGTCAGACTCCTTCATTAATTTTTTCCGCAAACATTTACTGATCACCTATTATGTGCCCAATCTAGCTGGATACAGCAGTCAGCAAGACATGACCCCTCTTATCAAGGAGCTTACCTTAATAAGGAAATGATACTTGGTTAGGAAATGATACTTATCAGGTCACTATAATGAAGAGTGACAGGTTTTTTATCTGTTGTGTGGACACTTCTACAGGGCCCTGACTCAACGGCAGGGCCAGAGGGAGAGGGGTGTGTTCCTAGCAGCCAAGAACAGCATAGGCAAAGGCCCAGAGGGGAGTTGATCTGTTCCAACCAGAGCAAAACACATGGGGCTGAGAACTAGAGGGTAAAGGGGAGTAGAGTAAAGAGGACAGCAAGGCCCTGGAGGCCATAGTGGTGTGGGGATTTTCTTAGGAGCAGAGGGACCTGGCCTGATTTATGCTTTCATCAACATTGAGACCATGGGGCAGTGTCCCCCGATCTGGGCCTGTGGGCCTGATAATTATGCAAACACTTTCCCAGTAGGAGCCCCAGATGGAAGGCCTTACTGTCGGTGGTGTCAGAGTTGTCGCTGCTGATGGAGTACTTTCGCCTCTTCTCTTCCATCTGCAATGAAAGGCAGGCCCCATTATACTCACAGGCGGCTTGGGAAATCCTCAGTCTCTCAGAAAATTGCCCAATAACCTTCCTCCCCACACTCACCCCACTGCAGAGAAAGAGTGAGAACAAGGTGGTGCCCTAGCCTTCTCCTCACCAGCCTCGCCCTCTCCCCGCCCACCTACATGGGCCCTGGGGCTGGGAGAGGGGGCGGCATCTCCCATCTCCTGAGCCCAGAGCCTCAGACAACGGAGAGTCTGGTCAAAGACGAGGGAGGGCAAGGGGGGTCAGCAGCCCCAGAATGAACAGAGACCAGGACCTGCCCAGTGCCAGCTTCCACTCAAGGAAACTCAGGCCCACCGAAGAATCCACTCTCACCTGCAAGTTACAAGTGGTACCCTGCTGGGTGCTGAGGAGGGAGGGCACAGGAAACAAGACTGACTCTTCCAGGAGGATCAGGTTATCAGAATTGAGGGACAAGCCAGTCCAGACGGCACTGAGGGCACATACTGAGAGCGGCAGCCAGAGGGGTGTGGAGATGGGGTGGGGGCAGGGAGGCTGCAAGCTGGGTCCCTGAGCCACACCAGGCCCAGGGTGAATGGGCTGGGCTGGGCTGGGCTGCCCTCCCTCCCCTCAATGTCCTTCTGCAGATAAAAGAAAAAACCAACTTTCTCTCCACTACAGTATTTAACTTCGAGGTAGGAAGGGCAGCTCTTCCATACTGAGCTCTTTCCCCTACCCATGCTATCTCAGGTCCTAACAACCTGGGGAGCTGTGAGCTATTAGCTTCTTTTACGGAGGAGGCTCAGTGCCTTGTCCTGCTAGTAACTGGCTGAACTGGGATTTGAATCCACGTGGTCTGATCCCTGAGCCCACACTGAGCTGCCTTTGTGCCCTTGTCAGCTCCTGCCTCTTGGAAGTGCTTTCCCACCCACTAGTTCCTCTAATCCTGCAGAGTCCTGGGTGGCAGAGCCTGCTCTTGTCCCCTCTCGGAGGGGAGCACACTGAGTGGCTTGTTAACCTGCCCCGGGTCTCACAGCTAGTCAGTGGCCGAGTCCTAACGTGAGAAGAGACCTGGGGCTCAGGGCCCAGAGTGCTTTCCACCGTGTTCCTGTCAGTCTAGACCCTGGGCTGCCTCACTGTCCACAGCAAAGGACAAGGAGCCAGTGTCAGTAGGGAAAGAGCCCCGCTGCCCGTCCCAGCTGCAGGCCAGCCAGGCTCCCCACCCCCACTCGGAATCCCATTTGCCACCTGCTGTCATCCCAAGTCTGCTCATGCCCAAGCCTGGGGGTCACCTTATTTGACTGTGGCCCTGCAGAGACCAGGGAGCATTGGCTCTTTAAGGTGGGGTGTGACTACCCAGAACTCTGAGCTATTCAGAAGTACCCTCCTGCCTCATACTTGACCTTAGCCAGGAGCTTCTCTCCACCCCTGTGTCCCCAGTAGCAGGATCAGGATGACAGGAAGGTTCACTGGCGCTGCTTGCTGCCCAGCTCCAAAGGTGCAGGCAAAGTGCTCTCTAGAGGGTGTGGGGGTATGGAGGGATGCCTGGTGGTAGCATGGACGCCAAGGAGGCAGGAACAAGAGCTAAAACTGCTAAGCACCCATTGCTTGGGGAGGGGGTGCGTCCTGGTACACAGGGACCTCACTGAGGCCTCAGAACAGCCCTTTGGTGCTGGTGGGCCTGATGGCTGCTTCCCTTTTGCAGCTGAGGAAAATGAAGCTCAGAGGTTAAGTGACTTGCCCAAGATCACAGTGCTCGTAAGAGGTCTGACTCAGGAGACCATGTTCTTGACCTTTAGGCTACCCTGCCTCTGTGCAGCAGAGTGCAAGCAGCCCAGTGGCTCAGGTCATACACTGAATGGGGCAATAATGCTCCACCACCCACAGCTGCCCATCCTTGCTATCCTCCGGGGTCTGAGTGTGATGAGGTGACTTTAACAGAACTCTTGACTCTAGCCTACATCTTGCCAACCCAGCCCTTTCACAGGTAGAACAGGAGCAGGGGGAGAGGTGCTCTAAGTGCACCCACCTGTTTTCTCCTGCAATCCTCTACATGAATTGCATTGCTCTTCATTTCCAGAAAAGGGGCACTTGCAAGCCAGGCTCTCTCATAGCATATAAAGCAGGAGCACTGGATTCAGGGAGGCCAAGTTCAAATCCTACCTGCACCCCTCACTAGACCAGGGACCTTGGAAAAGACACACCTCCCAAAGGACACAAACTGGATCTGGAATTTTACATAAATCTCCTGAACTTAAAATGTTGGCAACTGATTCAGATTTTTAAAACACTTTGAGAGGGCCAAACTAAACACATCTGTGGGCCAGAATCAGCTGGTGAGTAAATGAGAGCAGTATAAAGCCCTTAGCACGGTGGCTGACACTCCGTATTGAGTGCTGGTTCTTAATTCCACAGCGGACTCGGGCCAGGTGGACAGTCCTCCTAACCAGCGCCCACCTGAAGGCCTCCTCAGCGAGGCAGTGAGCCTGTACAGTAAGCAAGGTCCCCTACAACAGGACCTCTTGACTGCCAATGACCTTCTCACTGCCTAGGACCAGAGTGCCCCGTTGGCGTGCAGACCTGCACCCACCCTCAGCCAGCCGCCCGTCCAACCTGCCCTCCGTGAAACACCCCAGAGTCCTCCTTAGCAGGGTGTTATTAAGGGAGCAGATTCTGCGGTGGCTTAACTGGAATAATAACTAGGCTTCAGCGGGAAACCACTGCTTTGCTTCTTTCCTTTGAACCAAGTCTGTTCCAAAGGCCTCCCTGCCTCAGGTGAGCCTCTACTGTCAGTGGCTAATGAAGCCCCAAATGAGGCCTGGGCTCCCCTGCGGCATAGCCTTTTGCCCCATGAAGGCCCTCTCCAACCCAGCAAAGGAGACAGGGAGGACTCTTTTACCAAAGCTGAAATCCAGGGCTATACATGCAGGTGGGGGATGGGAGTGCCAAGACATGGTCTTGGCCTCTGGTTTTCCTTTTCCACTGCCTCCCCCAACCTCTCCCAAAGCAAGGTCTGCTCTGGGAAAATACCTCAGGGTCACAAGGCACTTGCTTTTAGGGGCAGAAAGTGCTCCTGAAACCTTACCTACAAAGAAGACTCTGGGAAAGAAAGTGTCCCCGTTTCCTGCCATTGCCACCAGTGCACTTGCACTCCCACAACATCCCCAGCACGGAGACACACACGGCTCTCCTTCGGGTCCCCTCTTTGAGTCCCCTCAATGAGCAGCAGCCCACAGCCTCCTCCGCCCCACCGCCAACGCTTGCAAGTCCAGTGGGTGCTCCCTCCAGGATACAGTGAGAATCCACCCACATTTCCCCTATCTCTACTGCTACCATACTGGTCCAAGCCAGTCTCATCTCTTGCGGGACTCCTCATTCATCTTCCAACTTCCGCTATGGCTCCCTCATAATCCAAGATCCACACAGCAGCCAGAATGATCTTCAAAAAGCATAAATCAGATCATGTCATGCCCTATTTAAAATCTTTCAAAGGTTTCCTGCTGCTCAAAGGGCAAAACTCAAGCTTCTGACCATAAGACCCTACGTGATCTTACCCCTGCCTACCACATACTGACCACCGCCCCCATCCCCACCACTTCCCAGCCAAACTGGCCTCCTTTCATTTCCCGAAACAAACCAAACAGTCCATGATTCAAGACCTGTGCACAGGTGTGCTCTCTGCCTGGAATGGTCTACGCAGCCTAGGCACGTCTGACTTTTCATCCTTCAAGTTTCGGCTTAAACGTCACAGAGGTCTATGCCAGCTGCCTTATCTACAGAAAGCCCACCACCCAATCAGTCAGCTTCTTCAGAGCACCCAGCACAATTTGTGTTTGTTGAGCTACTTGTTGAATGTCCTCCTCCTTGGGAATATACGTTCCACGACAGTAAAAAGCGCAACCGTTTGGATCCCTGCTGGCGTCCCAGCACATAACAGGGGCTTGGTACCCATGGAGTGGCGAGTGTGTTCTTGTCTCCTCCCTCTAGAAGTGTGGGACCACGCAGCCCAGCTGGCCTGCTCGCAGCTTGCGGAAGCAAACACCCCAGCCCAAGATTTCGTCCCGTTTGCATGGCCCGCCTTCCCTGTCTTAACCTCACACATCTTCCAGGAGGCTGTATTTGGTTGGGCTCCTGGCTAACGATCAATGTCAACTCAGTAATAGGACGGCAATTTGGTGGCAGATGTTTTCTCGGCAACACTAGCCATTGGTCTTAGTGGGGGCCTCGGGTCTGGACTTGAAACACCAAGGCCCAATGCCAGCCCCCTTTTAAAGACCTCTCCGCAAATAAACTCAAATAAACACCCTGGGCCTCCATTAACGCCCTTCCAGCTGACCCTGGAAACAGTAGGCCTTTCAGGCCTGCTACTGCAGCAGCTCCCTAGGCAGTTAAAACACCCCAACCTGGCCTCTGGCCTCTCCTCTCTGGGGGCCACCAGGCCTACCCAGCCTGCCACCATACACAGCAGGATTTCGTCTTCCTCCTTAAAAAAAGGGGGGTGGGGAGGCTTTCAAGCAGGCAATTTACCATTCCAGACACAATCTTCCAAAGAGAAACAAAAACTCTCCCTGTCTGAGGCAGACCACTAAGGCGTGTATGTAATAAGATGCTAATACAATTTAATCATATTTCGGCTGGAAAACCTGTCCTCAGAGCCTGCTTGTGTCGGGAAGGCCAGACATTCAGAAAACAAGAGCTGCACATTCTTAAACCATTTTAAACGGGGGTCAGAGCCCCACTCTTTCCTATCTCTCATTAACTTTGATGCCTTCTCAGGGACAATATCTACCATGACAAAAATGATTTGGTACACACAGATGCTCAAACTTACTTCTCCAATCATGGGGGAGCCTAACCCTCCTCCAACACCCATCATTGCCCACCTGCAATTCCAAGTGTCCCAGGGGGCACCCAGCTCCCCTAGAACACACTGTCCACACCCACCCTCCAGACCCAGTTCTGGGGACATACCAAGGGGATCCTGGGAGACAGAAAGGGGCTTTGTCTACTTTGTCCTTCAGCACCTTCGCACCCTACCCTCCACCTCAGAGAGGGCAAAGCTCAGTCCACTCGCTCCCATGGATGGCTGCCCATTGGCAACTGCAGGGTCCTTCTGATCCCTTCTTCAGAGAAGGGAGCTGGCTCTCTGGCCTAGCCTAAAGGGGAGAGATCAAAGGTCAGCTGCATTTGGGTCCTATCCAGGTCATTCATAATAACAGTAAGAATGGCTAATACTAATCAAGTGCTCACCACACGCCTGGCTTTGTGCATAGTCTTCTTTATGCAATATATCGCTTAATCCACACACCCACCATGAGGCAGGTACTGTTATTAACCCCAATTGCAGATGAAGAAACTGAGGCACAGAGCAATTGCCGCAGCTGGTGACTGCAAAGCTAGCATTCAAACCTAGACTGTCTGGCTCCAAACAGTGCACCTTGCCCCCCTCCCCCCCGAGGGGGTACAGTGTACAGTGCACAGACCTACAACTCCCAGGTATGGCTGGGGTATTCCAGATTCCTATAGGTTTTCTGAGAATCTTCCTGGGTTCCTCATCTTTTTTTTTTTTTTTTTTTTTTTTTTGGGGTAGGCGGGCCTTCTACTGTTGTGGCCTCTCCCGTTGCGGAGCACAGGCTCTGGATGTGCAGGCTCAGCGGCCATGGCTCACGGGCCCAGCCACTCCACGGCATGTGGGATCTTCCCGGACCGGGGCATGAACCCGTGTCCCCTGCATCGGCAGGCGGACTCTCAACCACTGTGCCACCAGGGAAGCCCCTGGGTTCCTCATCTTTGAGACACATAGTGAGGGTCCTATGTGGAGGACAGGGCAAGCAAGGGGTACCCCCCCTCCTCATAACTCTGACTTGGCCTCCCCTTGGAGAACCTAAAAGGAAAACTGTGAGGCCCACGAAGAGCCTGCTGGATGAGCTGTTAAGAATTTGGACTGGAAGCCTCTGACTTGGGTCTTGGGTATAAGACAAGTACCTCCCTGTTAACTGGAACACTGATTAACCAGAATACCTTGCCCCCAACCTTGAGGATGTGGAAATCAGTGTCAAAAGCCTAATCTCATGATTCTGGAAGGACTTGGGGGCTGGGGAACAGCAGTCCCACCTCACCTGTCAGCGAAAGCTAAGTGGAGATTTCTGACAGCCTCTTGGATCAGTGTTATTGGCTGTTTAGCCAGGCAATTTAGGGAAAGGAAAAGCCTGTTGGATGGGAAATGTTCTGGACACATTTGCTGCATCCCGAGCCCAAACAACTCTATCCTTAAACACTTCAACTCCAAAAGTGCTGGGGAGACCCTTGGCTAAACAATTTCAAAACCAACATTCACTGCAAGTCTTGCTGCCTGGGGCGAGGACTTCCCTCGGTGAGGCATTTGCTGTGGAACCAAATGCTTTTCCACTCTAAACAACAGCCAACAGCACTTGGGACAACTGAGAGGCCTCCAGATCAAACAAACATCCCTTTTTTCCCCTACCATGCAAACTTTCTCAATAAATTATTCGCCCACTTCGGATCAAAGCCTGTTTTTGCAGCCTGTGACCTAAAAAGCAAATAGCATCTCTTAAACATAAAAGCCCTCCTCCCTGCCTGGGTCGGCTTTATTACTCATTCCTTCCTCTTACAGTTACTCTGTTGTTATTTTCCTTCTCTTCTTGTTAGATCACTTTGCGAGTCCCAACCCGCCTGAGGAAGATGGGATGGGAGGGATGGTGCCTTCACCTGGGGCCCTAAGGTGGGAGAAGAAGTCAGGGTAGGGGACAAGCCAGCACCCTGGGAACCCAGGAGACAGGGCCAGGCCTGGTTGGCAGCTCCCTGCCCAGCTCTTCTGCCAAATGTCCTACTGGGAATTTTACCAGTGAAGGGAGGGAGTTAATGCCACCCTGGCAGGAGGGGCCAGGCAGCCCTACCACCACCCAGACCCAGGACTCGGTTTGCAAACATACGTTAAAGGGACATCCTCACAGCTTGTCTGGACTCAAAGCTCAGGGCTCCTCCCCCTTGCAACAAAGGCAAGGTGGCAGGTCAGTCGTGCCCACTCAGCTCCTCAGCTCGGAGTGCAAACATGACGCCTCCTGATGACACCCTACAAACTCAGACCCTATATGAAACTTTGTGTCTTGGAATCCCGCAGTAGATGGGGGCGGCGGGGGTGGGGGGGGGGTAAAGGAGTGGGAGAGAATGTTAAGCGCGGGGCAAGGTTTGGGAGTCTGCAGAGACCAGAGGCGCCGGATCCTTCCTGCCCTTGGCACCGAGAAAAGGGAAACACAGCCCTTCCCGTTCCCAGTAGCCCAGGGCAGGAGATCTGCGTTCAAGGTGCTAAGGAAAAATGTCCCGGCCGGCAGCAAAGGTTAAGGGGATTGGGAGGGGGTGGCGCGCGCCTCCAGCCTGCCCCTAAAGGCAGTCCGGGGGACAGCAGGCTGGAGGCGCGCCGGCATGATTCTGACCGCGGGAGCTGGGAGGAGGAGCCGGAGGTGGCTGCGGGGGGCTCCGGCCCAGTCGAAGGAAGGGCAAGAAGCGGTTCGGGCCGGGGGTGGCGCCGGGAGGTGGCCTTGGCCCCCGGGGCTGGAGAAAGGGCTTAGGCGTAGCGGGTGAGGGCGACCGAGCCCCTAGGGGGGTGGCAGCTGTGTGTGTGGGGATGGTGTGTGTGTAGGGAGGGTGGGTGTCCTGGGCCTCTAGAAGCTATAGCGAAGGCTTCCTGCTTGTCTAGCAGACATTCCCCTTTTCTGACATTAAAGCTACAAGTCATCAAGCTGACCCCCTCTCATCCCTTGGCCTGAAGAAGAGGGTGTCTCAGGGCCCAGGGATAAGCGGGAATGGACCGGAGGGAGCCACAAGTCTGCACCCAGGCGGGGAGGAGGCGGGCAGGAGCGGCTCCGCAGGCGCAGGCGAGTGGGTGGGAAGGAGGGAGGGAGAGAGGGGAGAGGGAGGAAGGAGGTGAGGCCGGGAAGATGCCTCTGCCGGGGGCGGGGCGGGGCCGGGGATCCGGGAGAGGGACTGCAGCGGTGCTTGGTGGGGGCGGGGGCTGCAATGTCACTCATGTGGGAGTCAGGTGTGTAAGTCCCAGGCTCGGGCCGCCGCTTGCCTACATCTTCCCGGTACTACCCAGGGCTCAGGGGTGGAGGCGGACGGCAGGGGACTGCAGAACCGTCCCCAGAGCGGGACGCGAACCGGCAGACTTGGAAGAAGGTAAACAAGGGCCACGCCCCCTGCCGTCGCCCCGCGGGCGCGCACCCGCCGCTCCGGCCGCCGCCGGTACATTTCCACTCCCAGCGATTCTCCCCCGCTGGACTCCCGCGCAGCCCTGGAGGGGGGGCTGCCCCCGACCCCCAGCCCGCGCCCCCCGCGCTGGGGCTGCGCACCCTCCATACTCACCTGGAAAGGGTATCCCCCGCCCCTCCAAAAAACTGTGCTTAATTTGTGCAGAGCCTCCGCGTCCGGGAGCTGAGCATGCTGCCCCCGCGTGCAGAGCCCGCGTGCACCCAGCCCGGAGAGGGGGCGACAGGGCGGAGGCGGTGGCCCCCGGAAGGTGTCTGGGACCGGACCGGCTGCACGTGAGCCCAGCGCAGGGTCATGTGCACCGGCTCAGCCCGGTTCGGCGCCCGGACGTGCTGCGTATCAACAAAATAAACTCGGGGAGACAGGAGGGCAGATAGCCCCGGGTCCTCCGAACCCACGTCCCCGGCCGCGCGACCTCCTCTCCGCACAGGTCTCCCGCCGCAGCCCCTCCGCCCTGCCAGAGCCCGCGGGGCAAGTTGCAGCCCCGGCGCGCCCCCGCCCGCCCGCGCCCCCTCCCCGGTCCGGGGGCGCTTTGCCGCAGTCATTAATAAAGAAGGTCGCCAAGCTCACCCTTCCAAAAGTTGTTGTTGCATGCGCCCCTCTCAGCCTCCCCGCAATGTACTCTTTAAAACACGACTGACCAACATGCGCAATCTCTCTCCCCTGTGCTGTGCATCGGCACCCCCCCCCCCGCGCGCTGGCTTCCTAGAACAAGCAGCCAGCAGGAGAGAGAGGGAGCGAGCGAGCAAGAGAGAGAGAGAGAGAGAGAGCGCGAGGGAGCGAGGAGCGCTGGAGATCTGTTGCAAAAACACAAAATAACGCCGTGGAGATGCGCAGGGCCAGTCGCCGGGGGCTGGATCTTACCTTGCTCCGCGGTGCCCTTCCGAGGGCCGCTACCCCCGGCTACGCGCCGCGGCTGGGGCCGGCGTGGGAAGGATGCTCCTGAAACCCGGAGCTCCTGGGGCCGGCGCGGGCGGGCGGGGGGCGCGCATCCATCCGGGGTCGTGGCGAGGGAGGCGGCCGGGCCCGTGGGGTCCCCGGCACCGCACCCGGCCGGGGACTGTCAGCCCGCCAGACCTAAGCCCTTGCCGCTAGGAGTGGGTGCAAAGTAACTCCATGGACGCTTCTAACCCCCCCCCAATAGCCTCCAACTGCGATGGCCGCGGTCGGCACCATTCACCAACCCCCCTGTGTATGTTTCTGTTTCTTTTTAAACCAAGACTTCCTTGTGATCTCTTTAGAAAAAAAAAAAATGTGTTGGGGTGGGGGTGGGGTGGGGGCGGGCGGGAGGAGCGAGGGAGGGGGAGTAGCCACTTTTTTCTTATTCACTCGGATTTCCACTCCTGACACCCCCCGCCTCGCCCCTCCACCCCCCCGCCCAGTTGTTTGGCTTCAGCTGCGCGTTCAGGTAGCGTTGCAGGCCTCCGGGGGGAGGGTACCCTGCCGGACCGCCCTCTTGCCTGCACCTCGGGCCTGGACTCCCCACGGGCGCTGGGGCGCCCCCAGCCCGCCCTGTCCCCAGGGCCGGGCCCAAGCGGCGGCTGCGCCCGTGCAAGTCCCATCAGGTCTGCTCACACTTCACACACTCACACACATACCCCGCCCCTCCACTCTCTCACTCACACTTTCTGCTCACACCCCGCCCCCTTCGCGCCCCAGACCCGGGCGGCGCCCCCCGCAACCTTAAAAAAAAAAAAAAAAAGCAAGCTTATACTTAAAAAAATCTTTTGGCGCCATATTAATGACGTACTTAAAATTTGCCATTTCTCCCTGCGTCAAAAAGACGTTTCTTTGCAAATAACAGCCTGAAGGCGACACTCGCGGAGGGAACGAGGTTTGCACTGAGCACCCCGCCTCCCGGGGTTCCAGCGCTGGAAGACCCTCGCTCTAGGCCCTGATCCTGAATCGCTGGTTTTAAAATGCGAAACGAATAAATCGCGTGGCGTTTCGCAGCGCCAGAAGTGAGCAGAAAGTGCTGGCAGGAGCGGAGGGGAGGGGCGCGCGCGAGTCTGGGGGAGGGGGCGCGGCTCTCCTCCCCCACCCACAGCAGATGGAAACTAACATGCCGGGCGGGGGAAACTTGAAATTGTGGGCGACCTCAAGAAGGAGGGGCGGTCCGTAGAGAGGGTCCCTCTCGGGTTCGTCGCCCCCTCCCCCCGCCCGAGTGCCTCCTGGCGCCCAGCTCTGCCCCGCATTTCCGGGGGGTAGGGAACGCAGTGATGGGTGGGTGGGTGGCTGCACGTCCTGGGCCCGGTAGGAGTTTGCCCCGGGGTGGCCACCTCCCCCTTGCTCGTCCTTCCCAGTCCCCCTAAAGGGTTAAAAACCAAGGGGCAACTTCCAAGGATTGGCACTTGGCGAGGAAGCGGGGCGCCCCTCTCCCCACCCTTCGCCTCCTCGCCCCTCCTCCTCCGGCTCCACTTCCCGACTTGACCTTGTGGTGCACAAACAGTGCGCTGGGATCCTCGCAGTTTCTGGAAGAAGAGCTTGCGCTCGCCAGGCAGGCGGGCTGTCGGGCGGCTCTCGAGCGGTGGCGGGGCCTTGGGTCCGTTCCCGGAGCCGCGGGCCACACCCACCCAACCCGCTGCGCCCGCCGTGCTCACCTTCTCTCGAGGAAGGAGCAGGGCTGGCCTTCTGGATGGGGAGAAGTGGGGGGCAAGCTGCAGCCTTCTCAGATGCTCCCAGCTAGGGAGGGGGTGGTCTGGTCTCAGGCGGGGTGTGGGGGGGGAGACCTGGGAGCCTGGCCCAATATCCTCAAACCATCATTGCCAACTTTTTCTTCCCCCTCCTTTTTGGCTGCCCCTCAAAGATGATCCAATAATTTCTTCACCTCACCTTTGGCTTTGAAGGCACGTGGGTGAGCTGTGAACTGGGACAGAAACCACCTTCCCTCTCCAAGACTGAAGTTTGTTTATTCTTTCTTTCCCCTCCACCTCTTCTGTGGAAAGATAAATATTCAATTTACATAAGATGACATTTATGTGACAATTAAGAAGATTCCCCGGTGGAATGTTGTGAACACATTTCCTTATAGGAGAAATAAATCTAATAATAAACAAACTCATAATAACAGCACAAATCCTCTGACAGGGCGGATTGTCTACACAACAGAGGGAGATGATGGATGCTGAAATAAGCACTTTTCCAACAGGAAAGAAATACGAGCTCAAAAAGAGTCACTGTAACATTTCCTTGGCCTTCATTCACAAAGTCTGGGGAGGCTTGTCTGGCAAGACTGAGGGTCTAGGTATCTCCCAATTAGACCTGTTCTAGCATTTAGTGGTCAGTTGGTAGGATTTTCCCAACCTCAAGCTCAGTGCCTAGAAACAGATGTTGCAGGTTGTGAGCATGTAACAAAATGGTTAAATACCTGGGCTCTAATCCTGGCTCTGCAGTTCAGAGGCTGCTTCATGTAGGCAAGTGAATTCATCTCTGGGTCTCTTTTTCCTCCTTCGTAGAATGGGGTAGTTGGAGGCTTCCCGAGGCCCTGTGTGTGTGTGTATACACACACACACATACATACTATATGTGTACAGCAGGGCCTGGCTCAGAGTACGCAGTGCACATTAGCACTTTTTCCTGGTGCCTACATTTTGGAAGGGTGTGAATACACTCCCTGAAAGCTCTTAGCGCTGAGAAACTGAGGGACATACACAAGATCTCCCAGTGTGGGCAAAAGGGAAGGCCAGGAGGAAAAACTGTAAATGATTGTGGCCTCCATGGTCAAGATCCAGATGGTAGCCACACATATGAGGTGAGAGTGGAGGTACCAATTTACAGTGGCCCAGTTCAAGGGGACTGCTCTTGTTGGGTCTAGTTGCAGACGGTTTACATGCAGGAGAGGACTGGACAGGCTCCTCCTCTTAGCCATCAGGATCCCATGGCAAGCAGTTATAAAATGACCTAGAGGAGGAAGAGGGAGTGGATGACCATCTATAGGGCACCTGCTCTGTGCTGTGGACTGTTAGTCATCCCATTTCATCCTCACAAAAACCATGCTACCTATTCAGAAAGGTTTAGCAACTTACCAACAGTCACACAGCTAGCGAGTGGTGACAGAACTGGCACCTAGTCCAGCAGACCCCAGGACCTATGTGTTTTCCATTTTACCACACTGCCAGAAATAAAAAGTATTAGTATTGTTGGTTTGATCAGGGATGGGAGCCTGATCGCTATATTGGCAAGAAAGAATTTTATGAGCAGCACTTTGTTTCTGAGGTGCTCCCCTGAGTTTGGGTACGATCCAGATCACCTAAAGAGTCCTTGGAAGACACTTCTTGTTTAGGATTGGGCGCTCCATCAGAATCCTTGACTTCCCACAGCTCTCTGCTACTGTTTAAGGTTAACCTTGGAAATGTAAATAGAATGATAGCATTAAAGCTAATTATAACTCCTTAATCCTTCTTAAAAATTTCACAAATCATTCATTAACTTTTTACAGAAAAAAAAAAGAAGAAACATGGTGTCCTTGGAGATGTAATCATTCATCTTTTTCAACAAATATTTATTGAGTGCCTTCTGTATTCCAGGCATCATTCTGGGTGCTAGGAACACAGCACAAACATGACAGACAAAAATGCATATTCTCATGCAACTCACTTTCTAGTTAAAGGAAGTACACAATTTTTTAAAAAGTTAAAAAAATATTATATTTGAAGGTGAGTAAGTGCTGTGGAGAAAATTTAAGTAGAAAGGGGGATAGGGAATGTGAGGATGCAATTTAAATAGAGTCCTCAGGGAAGAGCTGGCTGAGAAGGTGGCTTTTGAGTAAAAGGAGGTGAAGGAATGAACTGTGAGAGTTTATGGAGGAAGAGCATTCTAAGCTAGGGATTCTTAACCTGGAGTCATAGACACCTCCCTCCAGAGGTCTGAGTATAGAATTCAGGGGGTCTCAACCTTAGGAAACAAAAACTATATTTTAATTTTCACTAGTTAAAATTTGGCGTGTTCTTTGATTATGAATGCAGACAGCAAATCACAGTGATATTAGCAGCACCTGTGACATTGTTGCCAGTAGAAATCACAGATATTTTCATATCACATTATAGTTGTTGCAGATATCTTAAAATATCATGACACTCATCACTACTTCAAACTTAGGCTGCTAGCTCTTGTAATTTAATGAATTAATAAGAAACATATACATTACTATATTACACATTTTAAAAATATTTTGAGAGTTGTATTTCAGTATAGTTGGTCTTCTTTATAATTTATGAAGCTTATTTTATGGATTTAAAGATATTATACTCAGGAGTCCACACGCATCACAGGCTGCCAAAGGGGTCCATAGCATGAAATAAAGGTTAAGAACCCCTGTCTACACAGAGACCAGTGAGTGCAAAAACCTTGAGGCAGGAATGTACTTAATATGTACATGTACAAGGAAGAGATTATATAGGGCATTGTTAAGAATTTGGCTTTTGCTAGGGACAATATGGAGCGTTTTGAGCAGAAGAACGACATGTTCTGACACTGGGTTTTGCAGGTCACTCTGCTGCCAGATGAAGGACAAACTGAAGGGGAAAGGCTGAAGCAGGAAGATCAGTTAGGAGGTCATAACAATAAAACAGGTGGGAGATGATGTTAACTTGGACTAGAGTAGTAGCAGTAGAAGTGGCCAAGTTCTGTATATATTTTGAAGATAGCTCTGACAGGATTTGTTGATGGGGTGTGAGAAAACAAGAAGTCAAAGATGACAATAAGAGTTTTTGCCTTGAACCAATGCAAAGAGGGAGCTGCCATTAACCTAGATGGGGGAAACTGTGGAAGGAGTAGGTTTGGGGGAAGAATAAGGAGCTCAGCATTAGACATGTTAAGCTTGAGATGCATATTAGGTATCTAAATGCAGCCATCCTGTAGGCAGCTAGAAATGGCAGCCTTAGCCCAGGGAGGAGGTCTGGGGAAGATACCATTTGAGAGTCTTCAGCAGGTGGATGGTATTTAAAGCTATAGGGCTGTTTGAGATCACCAAGGAAGTGGGTGTAGAAAGAGAAGAGGTCCAAGGATGGCAACCTTGGGCACTGCAAGGTTAAGAGGTCTGGAAGATGAAGAAGAATCAGCAAGATGGTGTTAAAAAGGAAGTATCCAGGTGTTTCTCCAAAGAAGAGATACAAATGACCAATAAGCACAAGAAAAGATGCTCAACATCACTAATCATTAAGGAAAT